ATTCTCCTCTTATTCTTGGAAAACTGGACCAATTTTGGTGCAGGTGTCAGGGGTTTCCTATAAAAACAAAAAAAGTGTACATACCTACATCTTATTGAACAATTTCTCTTATCAAAATGTTGCCCATTCTTGTAAAAGTAAAAGTTATTTTTAATTTGTTTAAATTTAGTTCATAGAAAAAACTTTCAGTTTATTTCTCATACTGCAATAGTTGATTTGAATTATATTTTAACTAATATCTGTTCTAGTTGATCTAACAAATTTGAGTTTGAAAATTACTTTTCATTTTTAATACAGAGTTGTTCAAATTGTTTATAACTAATAGAAAAGGTTTTATTTGAATAACCAGCCGGCTGAATATTAGAATAATACTTATTTAACAATTAAGGGGCTAAACAAGAATACTTAATTTTACCCAGGCCAGACATATTTTAATACAAATAGGTATATTAAAAAATAATTGAAAATCGATCCAAAAAAAATTATACTTCGTTAAGGCTATAAGAAAACAATGATAAACAAGGGCCTTAATAAATCTAATAACACCTTATTAAATTAAATTGTTAATACTTACTAATTACATCAAATCAGCACTTATCAATCTTCTTAACCTAAAAATAACTTACCTATCTATGAAAATATATCCCATGGAGAAAGGATAATTATATCCACTACATCATAATAACTTTTATTTTATGATGATTTTTGTGCGTTTTTCGACCATTTCGCCTTCCGCCATTCCGTTTTTCATTTTTAACGAGGTTATCAACACAGTTGTCAAACCTCTCTTTAAAATATCGAGCACGACAAAAACAAAATAAGGTGCAGCTTATGCGTTTGAAATAACTCTAATCTCATGAAAGTTTATGGAAACTAGCAACATAGCTGCCATCTTATTTGCGATGGTGGCTCCAAATAGTATGGCCGTAACTAACCGCTTGTTACTAGTGCCGTGCATCTAAACGGTTTATCTTTCAATATTAATTTATCTATGTCTAAACCACGCCAAAACTGCTCGTAGCGACGATAAACCGCGAGAATTTTCGATATCCGTCGTAAATGATAGAGAGCAGATGATAAACATTGATTCTGGCTTTTCGCTTTACCTATATAAAGGTACGTTTTGCAAGCAGCGATTTTGGCGATGATTGTTGAGCGATAATCGCATAGCGATAATTGCGAATACTGATAGATAATATTAAAAAAAGTACGTTTTGCAACCAGCGACTCTTGCGATGGTCGCTTAGCGATCACCGCTAGGCACTGCTAGATGTTATTTTAAATACTTTCGGTTTCCTATGAGCGGTCATAACAATAGTCGCTAGCGTCGATAGCGAATATGTGTATTTGACTGGTTAGAAAAAGAAGTTACTATTTAAATATCTCCTGGTTGAGGAAATATTAGATGAGAAATTGTTTCAAATGTGCACAGAGCCGAGAGCAATAAATCAACCCATATTTAAAGTTAGAAATAAAGAGGGGTTTTTTCAAAAATTGATCTTTCAACATCTACGTGAAGACGGTAAAAAATTTTCTGAATTTTTTAGACTTTCAATATCCCATTTCGATTATATTCTCAGCTTGATAAGAGATGACATCAAGAAGCTTTCTTGCGTCGGAAATAAGTACTCACTTACACCTGATGAGAAACTAGCTATAACACTAAGGTAAGAAAATAATAGTATATTATGCGACGAACATTTAATGATAGCTATTAAGACACGAGTATGAGAATTATGACAAAATAGACAAACAAACACAAACAAAATACCAACCAATAAAACAAACACCAACAAAAAGAAACAAAAACAAACAAAATCAAACAACAAGCAAGGAACAAACAAAAAATAAACAAAAAAAACCAAACAAGTTTTAACGTCCAATGATGTACCTGATCAAAACTTTTGAAGAGCTAAACTCCTTTAAAATGCATTCAAATTAGTCGCAATTCTAGATAATTTCTCTTAAAGTCCCTTAAATATTTTGTAATTTCCTGGATTCCCGCCAATTTCTCGTAAATTACCCCAAATGTCCACAAAATACCCTTGCCTTATACACTTACTTTCACTGTAATTTACTGCTTGGACTATTATTTCGTTGACTTTCCAATGTCAATCCATATATTGTCCTTTGCACGCTGATATTTGTACATAGCGTATTGCAGGCCATAAATAGCAGAGTGTTTTGCCACAGCTTCAATAACTTTTTCGTCTTCTAATGCTAAAAAGTTCAGCTTGGGCCTCACGATTTTATCCGACTTTATGCACACAAATGTTCTAATATACATATAACAAACAGGACGTGCGCGAGAACCGTCTGCGTCATTGAGATAGAATTTTACACTTTTACGTCTAATATATGAAACTCAAGATAGTGGAGCTAGCCAGTTTTAATGAACATAGATGCCATTTTTGTTAAATAGCTTCATTTAAATGATATAACATCATTTTCATTCAGTCAGTCATCGAATATAAAATTATTGATTTCAATGAAATCAAAGTACCACTCAAGTCGTAATTTTCATTACACTTTTCCGTTACTAGAAGTGTTTCCACCTGTCATATCGAAAAATAGTGTTGTCATCTCTACTTTATTTTATTTCGATGCTCTGCATTGAATAATCGTTTACAACAGCGATCATATTTGCCCTAAGATCGCGCGACGAGATAAACCCGCTAGCGTCTATTGTTATTATCGCTCATAGGAAAACGGAAGTATGTAAAGACCGCCTACCAGTAACCCGCTATGATCGCTGTGCGATTATCTCCCAGCAATTATCGCTGCTTGCAAAACGCACCTTTAGATGTAGCGGAGCGACATTTCCAAGTTTCAATAAATTCACCCATTCTCCGTAATTTTGCAGGTCTGCAATTAAGTTCTAGATTAGGGCTCTAGGCCCAAAGTCTAGCGTCTAGGACACTTACAACACGCTACACTAATAGGACAAGGGTCAAAATTTTCAACGTCGTATTTTAATATTACATGAAAAAGAAAGGTAAAAATTGGACCCTAAATACTAAAAGGTTGAGAAACGCTCAGTGTAATCTAGTTAATAGTTCTGGAGTCCACACCCTCCCCCCCCCTTCTTACCTGGACCTTACTTATCATCATATTCACTGCTGTTGCTCGGTCGTAAAATAACAATTCAGCACAAAGCTGTGTCGTAAAAAAAAAGGCGAAATCGTCGTTACTTTACTTTTTTGCTGCCTGGTATGGATCTAGTTAGTAATTTAGCCAAAGACGGCTACAGGCTGAATTTTCTGTGGGGGCCATGCAAGTAAAATTTCCTTTTTTTTGCTTCCCATAAACTACTTATTACTTGGTAAATAGCATTTTTTCAGACTTTGAAAATGCTGTACGTATTTAAATTAAAGAAGACTCATAAATCGTAACAATTTTAAACTCGGGGGGACCATGATCCCCTGAGACCCACCACGAAACGCTGTGGTCACCCTAAATAAAAGACTCATACATTGAGTCAAATGTTTTATTACCATGGGAGGGAAGGTTGTATTTATCTTTAATACAACTCCTGATTTTTCTCCTTTCTTTCTAATTTTTTCTTTTTCTCTTCGACTAGGTGCCATGTACAGGTCATGGTCTAGTCACGTCTAACTACCTTTAAGTTCCCCACCCTAGTATGGATTTTGAGTCATTGCCCTTTATTCTACTCTTAAAATTCCGATGCACAATAGTTTCCTTAAATCAAAAGTACTTAGGTTTCTTCGGACCTCTGTATAGTTCATATCCATAGAAACCTAGATCCATCCTCCATGTCTTACAATATTTATATATTTTTGTTTTCTGATGATCAGTAGTGTCTAACCCGGTTGACCTCAGAACCACTCTCAAACGCTCCAATCTACTTGTCATTATCCAGTATGTCTGTTTATGTCTTATGTCTATAGCCAAATGTCAAAATAGGTACGCTTGTCATCTGTTGAGCTCATTATACTCGATTTTTTTAAATAATTAGGCATTCCAAACAAATGAATTACCAGTGGGCAGGTTTGGTATATCTAAGGGTGGCGACATATGGTGTATTCTATCTACTTTACGTAAAATCATGAATAATGGAATACATTTAAATATTTTATGTCTAACACAATAAAAATAATATTTAAAAAACCCACCTATAAATTTTTTCATAAATTGGCAGGCTTGGCGAGTACTACTTCGAATAAAAATAGTGTCCAAGTTGCAATACTATGTCGCTACCCCCTTAAATATACAAGAATTTCCCACTGGCACCTATTGTTTGATAGGTCGTTGGAATGCCTAAACTAATTAAGGAATTAATTTAGGTTTAGTGCCTTTATCTACCTACTATTTAATGTATTTGTTTTACTTCACAATTCAAATGTATCTTGTCAATGATCCCATGTGGTGGGTATCCTAAACGTAAGTTTTAACATCATTTAATATTTCAATTGTTAATTTGTAACGCCATTTAGGATGGCTTTGTAAGCCGAAAGCGTTCAGCCTAATTTTTAATAAAATAAATATAATTTTTCATATTAAAGTATTCATTCCACTTCCATCTCACTATCAGTGGCGCATGTTTATGTCTGGGGGTAATAAAGTATAAGTCTGGAGGGGTATTGGTAATATTTAAGACTTTATTTTTTTATAATAAATCATTTTAGTACAACAAAAGGTTAGGTTTAAAAATTCTGGAGGGTAATTACCCCCGTTACTCCCCATCTCCGTATATGTGCACTTGCTCAATATTAGTGCGTGCATCACTCCCAGTCTGCTTATTTATTAATATTATGTCGACTCTTATACGTAGTCCCATACAGAAGAATGTTGAATTTACTAAACTCGTAATTGTCAATGAAATCGGAAGAAAAGGTAAGGAAAAACATAAAAATCATTTTCAACACATGGAAAATTGATGGCCGATAATTTTAATATCCAGCACTGCCTTTTTTCAACGCCACTGTTTGTACAAATAAAAATCAAACGGAATGAAAAATTGTAATCTAGTTACGTCTCACCTCCTCCATTTTTGTAACATAAATATGGAAATCGCCATACGTTCCCTAATCCTACAGATAAACTGATACAGGACATTAAAAAATCCAATTTGTTGCTCCACCCTCCACGTTCGTCATCCTCCTTCCGTTTCGGTGTTTTCTCATCCAGTTTGCTAGTAAGTATAAATGGTTTTTTCTCCGGACCGGGTTGAATTTGCATATGATCATCCCACATGTATAATTTGTTGGACATTTTATCTGGAATTAAAAGAAAACAAGTTTTAGTTAATCAAGTCTGGTAAATTACGTATTTCTTTATTTTGGAATCTAAATATCAATGATTCTCACGTTTGTAACATTTTCGGCTTTTGATATACAGAATGACCAAGACCACGTTCACGTTAATATCTTTATTACTTATAAAGCGATTTAAATCTAATTTGAGGCAAACGTACCACACATAATATCGAATTGACATTTATACTTAAAAAAATGGCCGTCTTCTGGTTTTATTGGAATCGCCATCCAATTTGATTTTGTGAATGGATTGGTTCGTATATTTTGTTTCTAGAATCTACGGTTCAAATATGAAGACTAGAGATAAGAAAGCGAATCGACAAACTTAAAATACGGTCCCAAATACCGAACGCTAATTGAGCTTTTTTAATTCACCACAAGGGCGCTGGTGCTAGTAGTGCTGTTCAAAATACATGGCTTCTTATGGGAATTTTACATAATGTCCAAATAATAAAAATATTATTGTTTATTGCCAAATAAAGCAAAGAATATACTGTTCTATTTATTTATAAATAAGTCTCGCATGTTTTAATTGAAAATTTATTTAATTGATATCTATATAAAATTCAAATTAGGTAGGTATGACCAAATTAGAAAAGATTTGTTAAATGGTGAAATTTGGTAAGTACAATTTTGTGTCTAAATTTTTTTGAATCACACCTTAATATTGTTTTAAGAACAAAATAAACACAGAGATTTTTTATTGTTATAATACAAGCATAAAGGGAGATTTGGGAATGTACATGATATTGCCTGATCCTTTAATTTTGGCTTTCCACTTTTTATTTTGCTAACAGTACCATCAGTAAAAAAGTCTCATAATATTTGGAAATATCTTCTAAAAAGTATAGAACAGCATCATCTCTATAAAGAGCTTTATCGGCACTAGGAACTATATATATTATATGCTACCACTGTTCTAAGCGTTTAGGATCCTATAAAAAACATTTACAATAACAAAATTTGGGTTCAACAAAAAAATAACATTAGCAACTCTTTAGCTAACATTAAACCTATAAAAAACAACAAATTTTCTTTGCTAGCAAGTAAAATTTAATCTATATTTATTGTTGTTTGTAAGTCTGTACAATTTTATTTTATAGGAACTTGTGATGAAATATACTATACTCTTTGATACGTGTTGTGACTAGCTTACAATAAATATTATATCTAGACATAAATACATTATTTTACTTACATTAGAAGCTTTAAAAAACATTAAATTGATTTCTCCTTGTGCTTTCTTTAGTTTTACATCTGATTTGTATACCGTTTTACAATCTGGAATGAAGTAAATCTTGCTTTGATGGTTTTTGTCACTCATGCTACTTGTACTCAGGTACTTTTTTTACATTATTTTGATTCTTTTCACCACATTTTAAAAAAATCAATTCATTTTACATTGACTTATATAGAAAAGTGATAGCACTACTGTTCGACATGCCAACTACAGTCAATTTTGCGAACTTTATAAAAAGAAGGACGGAAATTTGAAATTTGACCATTGCCAATTCGCTTCCTTCTCTCTAGTCTTCATAGATTCAAATTACATATGACAGTTTTGCCAAATTTGAATTTTTACCAAACGATTTTTTGTCTATATAAAGGTGGTAGAAGTCTTAAAACGTATTTCTAAAATTAAAAAAAAAAATAACAACCAGTGTATTTGCCTAAACACAGCTTTTAATGGGTATAGCCAATTAAAATTTTACATTTAATTTTAATTTTATTTTTAGCCATTTTAGTAGAGGACTGAAAATATAATTTTAAAATTATGAAAAAAATTACAAGCAACTTTTATAATGAAACGCAAGCTTTTAAATGCTATAGCAAATTAAAATTTTAACTTTAATATTTTCGGCCCATCCTATTGTACAGCCATATTTGGTCGCCTCCCTCAAATGTGTCCCTGTGGCATGCATATCGATTCTAGCTTTTGCTTTATTGCTACTGACTTTTAAAGACAGCCGAGCGAATTCGTATACCCTTTCTAATCTATCTCTTGAGTTCTGTATATACGTGGGGGTAAACGGCCCTCTTCCTCACCAGGAGACTTCCTTTCAAAAAGAAGATCATAGGGAAGTTTCATCTTAACTGGTCGATTTATGTTTAGAACTTCGGTAGGCTAGCATAAATAGAGGTTCTTAGAGAGAACATTGAAAGATAGCGACATATGGGTCTATGGTGTATTTCTATCATTCCGTCGGACTGTGGGTGAAGAGGCGTAGTGCGTATTTTTCTAATGCCTAACAATTTCATAATTTCTTGTCACAATTTGAATTTAAAATTTCTTACTGGGTCAGAATGCAATTCCAGAGGAACTATATGTCTCGCTATGATGTTCGTCATAAATGTTTCTGCTACCGTCGTCGCTTCCTGATTAGGAATAGGTGTTATTTTGGGCCACTTTGAAAAATAGTCCATAACAACCATCAAGTATTTGCTTCCCCTTTCTGTTAAGGGAAGTGGTCCAAAGATATCTGGCGATTCATTCAAAAGGCTCTCCGGTGAGGTAATGTGCCTATTTACATCGGCTTATTGTTTCGGGCCCTTCTCATCCTTCGCATAGATCACATTCCTTACACCAATCTTTTACATCCCGTTGGCAATTGACCCAATTAAATATTTCTCTAGCTCGTGCCAGCGTCCCTTTAGTACCAAAATGTTCTGCTGAACGGCTGCTATGAAGCTCCTGCAACACACTTCTGACATGTGATTTTACAGTACCACTTAGTGAACTACATGTACTCCTTCGGGGCTCTCTCACTTCCAGTGTAATAGGCCATCGTGAAGATAAAGGGAATCCCACTGAGTCCATTTTCCTTTAATATTTCGGTTTTTAAAGAAGATATGTTAGAAGACACCTTTTCTTCCAAAGAAGAAATATCGGATGAAACTTTAATTTCTAAGGAAGTAATGTCAGAAGAAACTTTACTTTCCATGGGAGACATTTAACTATCCAAAGAGGAAATTATATAAGATGCATCATCAGGAAATATATACGTTTCCGGATCCAACCCTTTACTTTCTACTGCTTCCTTAAGCCGCACTGTTAGCTCTGCTTTCTTTCCTATCGTCTCCAGATCATGATCTTCTATTTCTCGACGCAATTCAGCCACTTTTAAATCACACAGTTTTTTAGCCATTATTGTCCACTATTTATTTACACTATTCCACTTCTCGACACTAATGTGATGTTTGTTTATTTTAAACAACAGTTTGTTTGTTTGTTTATTAATAATTTATTTAAACGCCTATTTATTTTATAACACTACTATTCTAATTTTTATATATACATTTCGAATGTCTTTAAACTGTTCACTATTTATATTCACCACTGTCTATCTTACAACTGATTGCCTGTGTTCCTCCATCAATATTTATATACAAATTTAATTATGAATGATAATCGAACAAGTTGAGCCTCAAAGGCCAAGCAAGACAGAGAGGGACTTGGAGGATTAGAGCATGACTGAATAATGAAATGGCTCACATAACAATATTTTAAACCGCGAAATGGAGACATTGAATTTGGAAAATGTATATTAGTAAAGGTCATGGGAGGATCTAGAAAGAAGACAGTTTACCGCTACATGGCAGTAGTACAGGGTGTTAGTTTTGACAACGGAAAGCCAGAGATTGAACTCCTGGGGATGAAGTCTTCTGACAAGACAAGAAAATTATTTACCCCCCAACTTGACGATGAATATGTGGCGGATATAAAAGACGTGATAGCTATTTTGCCTGCTCCTACCATTAATAATTTTAACGGAAAAGTGACTTATTTATTTGAAAAGGAAATCGAGGTTTACGAAATGTAAGAATCCTCCGCATTCTGTTATATAGTTGCAACACAATATTTAGTTGTATAGAACAGTGTTTTCTTTGTAATTATGCCAGAAAATAAAATTTTATTTTGAGTCTAACAATATAAATTGTTTATTTTGTTGTTTCATCACTAATTTGCCATTGATCAATCTCATCCGCACTGAACAATCTCACCCCTAAGAATGAAAACTCGCATAACTTTTAAACCATAAAAATAAACATACTGGAGTGAGATTTATCAGTTTGTATGGAGTTCCCTGCTTATTCTATGAATTAAATTTCTTGTGATCAATCTCACCCCACATGTAGTATGAGATTGTTCACGATATTTTTTCTTTTCACAACCTTCAGTGACCTATTTTTTTTAATATTCTGATTAACGGATATCGTTTCTGACACCAAGACCTATTGAAACAACTTATTTACAAAAATAATTTTTTACACGATAAAAAAATTCACGCGAAAGACTTTTTTTATGATCAATTTCCCCCCAAATGACGTTACTAGAATGTCACGAAGCTTTGGCTGAAGTGTCCATCAACAATGTGGTTGCCTTAAGATGGATCAAAGGTCACACCACATGAAAAGGTAACCGTCTTACTGATTCACTGGCCAAAAAGGCGGCCAACTAAATACTTTTCGGACCTGGTCCTTCTATTAGACTGACAACAGCAATAGTGACAAACCTGATTAAAGATCATTTCCTTGTGAAATTTAAGGACTATAACTAGACAGAGTTTGCTCCTGATCACAGGCAATTTGGCCGGTCATTGCCAAGTAAGCAATGCATGTAGCTATTAGAATATGCCCTCTGCAAGGGATGCGAAGAAGAAGATGAGACTATCGAACCTATCATCTACAATTGCCACTCTCTCATTTATTAGAAGATTTGTATTCGGCGAGAATTGGCTAACACCGCCCGATATAAGGGAAGCGCCTCTTGGAGATGTTGTCAACTACATTAAATACGTAGGCTGACTCACGGGCTAGAAGGTGCCTATCTATTTAGGAGGATGCACAATGGGCCTAGTTAGGCCTAAGTGCTATGGATTTATCCACCCTCCATACGTTACAGATTACAGAAACTACTGTAATAAAAACTGGGTGCTTAAAAATATATATTGAAAAAAAAGGAACAAAAATTTTAAAAATTTTAGCTAGTAGTAAGACAAAATTATTGTAAAATCAAAATAAGGACTGAAAACGATAAAGATAGGTGCATGGATATAAAATCCGCAGTCTTAGAACCCCAAACAACAAGCACCCATACAGCACACCAAATCCCTTGGATATCTAGTGGACATTCCAGTATCCACTAAATGTTCAGTCCATGGTGGACATCTATTTTATAACCATGAGAAGTAATTTATAGATGTGTAAATTTCCATAAATAATAGTTATTAAATTATAAAAGAAATACGCTATGATGGCTAATATTAACGTTCAGAAATTTAAAATTAAAAAAAAGCTTAAGATGTATTCAATATCCCATGATTATCTGCTAAATATATCAAAGTCTAGGCGCGAACGCAAACCATGGTAGATATTCACTAGATGTAATTTATTGATATAATATGTACCTACCTAAATATCGGAAAATGTGAATTGATTTAATAAATAATAAATTACTTAAATATTACGACATGTGATAACTAAGAAAGTGTAGGTACGGTTTATAGAAAATCAAAATTAATAATAAGTTGTATTCAATATCCCACAGATATCCGCTAGATTAATAATATTGGCAACGAACGCGGGCGCAGGCGCGGTTTTTTTGTGCCCTATCACCTCACAGGTGCCATCGGCCATCTTTATAGTTTGTTCGTGTCGTTTCGTTGTGTATGCGTGCATGGTGTTCAGAAGTTTTGAGTTTTATTTCATAATTTTGGATTTTAAAAGAAGGTAAGTAAGCTTTAAAACTTAAATGTATTAGTGTAAAAGTTGATAGGCATTATTTAGTTAATTAAGACAATATTTCAATTCACATTAAGATTATTAAGTAGGTATACATACAATGTACGTTAAAATCCTCAGCATTTTTAGGTAATTCACAACTAAAAATTCGTGTTGTTTTTAAAATACCCTATTTTATTATTAAGATCAATGCTATTTTACCTACCTTCATGGTATATAACATGTTATTTATAAGTGACACTCTCACCAAAGGCTTTTATCAGACTTTATTTTCGCTTTGGTTATAGCTTGATTTAAAACATAGTTTTACTTTTTGAGGAATTTTACAACTGAGCGTCTTTTTTTTTTTATGAAGAAAATTCTAGTTGAAATTGCAGCGACTAATGTAATGTGTTATTTAATATAAACATACTACCAACCTACAGTTTACTTTTTTTAAATATATTTATCCTGCTCAAAATATTTGTTTTTGTTTTACCTTACTATATTTATTAAAACAACAATAAAAAATAAGATTTATTTATTTTATGCTTATATGTCAGATAACTCAAGCGTTGTATTCAGTTTAAAACTTACTTCCCATACTCAATGATATTTTGGTGTTTTTTTAGGTATATTTTATTGTAAAAATACAATGTCGATACTCTTACTCTACATGCTGTATCGTTTTGATCTACACAAAGTTTTGTACATTGTTAAATATAATGTTTTAAAAAACTTTAATTACATCATTTCACGAATGTGTTGCCTTTTGAAAAGTTTAATATGTTTTACTTTATCATTGAAATTCTTGACGATGAGATATCTAGATTTCTGCATTTTCTAAATCCATAATTTATTGAATAATGGATGTACACTGGATATGTTAAACATCTACAGGATATATCCAGTGGTTACCTATAAACCTCTGCTAAAGATACCCATTAGATATTTTGCTGGATATTCATAGAATATCTTCTATATCCTGGATATAGACGAACATTTGGATATACATATTAGATCCACTAGATATCTATGATATCCTGTGGATATATTGTATATTCACAAAAGATATTATGTGGATATCTGCGGGATTTTGTGTGTTGTCTGGGCAAGTACTGTAATTAATGTAATAAAAAGATAGATAATAAATATAAATAATATATTAAAATTAGGACAATTTAAGTTATTTTTTAGATAAGTTTTTATTAAAATTTAAATAAAATAAATTGATTAATATCAGTAATATAATAATTAATATTCTAACTAAAATTATTATTTTAATAAGTTTTTCATTTGAGAAAATTCTAGTTATGTAATATATATAAATTAAATTAATATACCTTCATCTATTATAATTATTAAAAATTAAATATAGGAATATCATAAGTTTTAACAAAGTTAGCTCTACATTATGAAAGCTTATTTATATGAAAATTTTACACCTTATCAAAAATTGAAGCATTAACATTATATAAGCAGTTCTGTCGGTACATTTGGACAATTTAAAACAACTTTTTTCAAGAATATATTTTCTGAGAAATTTATAATAAAATAAGATTCCCACGTGCAGCAAACTTAAGTAGACATACTGTATATTGATATAGAATGACAACCATTTAAAAATGGAATGTAATTTATATCCCAGTATAATTTATCGACCAAGATAACGAGAAGAAAAAATTAAAAACCAAAAACAATATGTACCTACTTACCATACTTTATCTTTAAACCAGCCATTTTTATACAAAACCTACATCATAACTTTTTCACTAGAAATAATTAAACCTAACTAAACTCAGATAATTTTATCCCTTTGATTATTTCTGAATCATCATATTTATAGAATTGGCATCTATTACGATCATATGGTATAGGTACTGACTCTCACTCATTTCAATTTTCTTAAATAAATATCAAACGTAATTAGCAAAGAGACCACCTGTGAAACATATTTTTCTTACAAGCCATTGTTCGATTTAGAAATTATGCGAACCCTCTAAACAGTTTTTGGAATACATTTTGTTTAGATTAAAATAGAAAACGAGAAGAATTAAACATCATACCTTCGAGTTTATACAAATAACGGGTGTCCCAAAAGTTTTGGGAAAAAGTTTGTCTGCGCTCTGCGGAATATTAAATCAAATTTATCTAGTTAGCCATGGTAATAAACGTTGCCCTGGGTTTTGTTTACTTGGTTGACAGCCCAGTTGCTATCTGTCTGTAGGCATAATGGCGTACAAAATTGAGATTCGAAAATCTATTTATAACTTTGTTGGCAGAATGCCAAAAAAAGATATCGTTAATATTTTCTGGAATCAAAATATATCTAAAATAACCATTTACCGAACAATTCAAGAATGCGAACAAGGAATACCTTGTCTTAACTTGCCGGAAAGTGGCAGACCGGCAACGCTTACCGATGTCAGGGTGAACAGGATGGTCGAACTTGCAAAGGATATCATTCGACTGTCAACTCGAAAGCTTTCCCGACGATTTCAGGTATCAAAATCGACAGTTTCTAGATATATTGCAAAAAAAAGGCTTAAGTTATAGAAAACGGACAAAATGTCCAAAGTATAACAAGGCCCAACTTCGAAGGATTCCTTATTGTTGCCGCTTGTTACGTCTTTGTCATTTTGTGAACAACAGAAAGATTATACTGGATGACGAAAAATATTTTACATTTTCGCATGCCGACCTACCAGAAAACTCTGGTTTTTATACAGATAAACATTGAAAATACCCCCGAAAATGTAAAATACAAGCCAAAGGCCAAGTTTGCGGATAAACTGTTAGTCTGGATTGCATTATCGGAAAATGGTTTGTCCAGGCCCTATGTAGGACCTGTAAGAGGCCCTGCAGTGGATCAAAATACTTTCATTCAAAATTATCTTCCGAAATTGGTAAATTTTATTAGAGAACATCATGCCAACGACAATATCATGTTTTGGCCGGACTTGGCGTCGGCTCATTATGCTAGAGCCACATGCGAATGGTTAGAAGCTCAAAATGTGCCATTTGTGCCTAAGCAGGACAGCCCCCCGAACGTTTCCCAAACAAGACCAATAGAGACATTGTGGGCAAGATTGTCAAGCAAAGTTTATGAAAATGGCTGGGAAGCTCAAAACGCATTTTCAATACTAAATGTAGTAGAAAATAGAACAAGTTCCAATTAATTAGTTAATTTTTTAGTACTAAATTTGCTGTTTGCACTGTGAATTTTTTTAGTACTTAAAAAATGCATTAGTTCAGTTCTAAATTTAGTACTTAATTTAGTACCGTAACGTACAGTGCCACAGTTTGACAACGCTGTATGAGGTAAAATTTCGTAACTAACACAATTACACAACTAGCACTGGCTCATATTGTCGATTGTTGCCGTGCACGATTAACAATAAACACAAGGCATAATATGTTAGGTAGCCTTTAAATTAATTAAATTCTTTAAGGAAATAGAAGAAATAGGTAAATATGACAGGTCTAGGAATCTAAATGCCACGAATTACAAACAAAAATCTCATAGAAATAATATTCAGGCTAATACAGTTGACGAATATTATAGGTTGAGTATATTATTTATTCCATATCCATATCTTACATGTACCCATACATTTTACTTTTTTTTAAGTAGGTAAAAACAAAACAAAAAGCAATGGCAGCTGCTGTGTTGTAAATTGTAAAAATACTAGCAGAAAAAACAGTGTAAATTATATAAATTGTCAGTAGCAAAATGGAAATTAAATCGAAGACATAAATGGATAGCTGTACAATAAGAAGAAAAAACCTTCATTTTTGTAATAATAACAGTATTACTGAAAATAGTATACATCAGAAAATTGAAAGGTTTTAAATAAACAATAAATTTTTATTATACAATGTTGTTCAACATCTCTTAACTCTTAAATGTTCAGCAAGGATTAGATTTCTGCCATTGATTATTGTATGTGGCTGAAATGCAATCTTGTGACTTATTGATAGAAAACCAATTTTAATAATTAATTTCTATGGGTTCTTTGGAACTAAAAATAAAGAAAATTTGAATTATAATCGCAATTTTACTAATTATTTTTGTTAAAACGTTTTGATACTACGTTATTATATAATGGTAATGTTTTTATTTTCACATTATTTAACCTTTTCTTCAATGACAACTTATTAGGCTTAGGCAACATATCATACATTTTCTCGTAAGTATTGTTGCCTGCCTATGTTTTATTATTGATTTTTATTGATTATACTACTTTTTTAGCTAAAATAATAAAAATAAATAATAATTAATTTTTTCACTTGTTTTACAAATATATATTCTTTTAATAAAATCAACATATATATTTTTTAATTAGGAATTCCATTAAAAATTGTAATGTCAGTATACGCAAATATCGTCCGTTAGTTCATAAATTAGTTTAAGCTGCTGTCACGCACAGAGCGAATAATGAATGAAAATAGCATGGAGACTACACAAGGAGCACGCACTCCATGTATAACAAGCGTACTGTGTTAAACAGAGTATTTTAAGAGGGCGCTAGTGTTCCATAAGTACCAAAGTGGCATAAGAGAATGAGGCGGTAGTTTGAAATAAAATAAATAATTCTAATTAATTATTAATTAATTAATTATAACTCTAATTATATTTATTTAATTTAAAAACATTTGACACGTGTTTACGTTAATTAAATAATCGGTTACTTTATTTTCACGCTAACTTCACATTTGTTTATTCCTCTATATTCACACCGGTACAAAAGAAAAATTAGCGAATCTAGTGGTGAAAAAAGAAAGCTTTATTTATACGATAAAGCGCGGACATACTCTGGCAAATGCCACATTTGAGTACGTGCTCCTTGTGTAGTCTCCATGGAAAATAGGCTGACTGCGCTTTGCATGATGAGCGTACATCCAAAAATAATCGCAAAAAACTAAAAAGAAATCATGTTTTCTGCTATCGATTATTTTAGGCAGAGAAAGAAGAAATTAAAAATTTGCGTTTTCCTAGTGCTCGTCGACGTGCTTGAGTGCGTTTTTTTTTTGTTTCTGTGTTACTATAAATATTTAAATTTTTTTTATATTAAGTATGGATCTGTCTTTTTGTTCGTATTTTTCTTTTATATCACACTTCTGTCTGTTTTTTAAAATTGTGTTTTAAGTTTTTTGTTTTTTTTTTATTTTAGTTTATGTCTTTTTTGTTAGTTATTTTATTTATTAGAAACTTTTGTTAATTTGTATTGCATTCTAAATTTTTTCAAAATTTTGCCCCTCCCATGCTACCACATTTTGGGTTAATATACTCATTGAAAAGTTGGATTCTTTTCTTCGAATATAACTATAATTTAGGCCACAATACATCCTTCGGGATCGCAATGAAAAATCTCGATGTCAACAAAGCCAATTTACAAATACTGCAGTAATTCTAGTCTTTTTAATGCTTTTACATTTTTTTAAATTGCCTGAATTCTATATTTCCTTGAAATAATAGCCTTTAAAATAAAAACGAAAACAATAAAATAATATCCAAGCCATATTTCACAAAATAATAAGAGCGACTGTTTCCTTTCCAAAAAGAACTGCTTCTTTAGATAAAACCAAAAGCTGTAGTGGCCTAAAATTCAGCATACATTAAAATGCAAATGTGCCCAGCCAATGAGAACGCTCGGGCATCAGCCGGGGTGTGGCCTATGTGCCGCCAAATTCAAAATTCCAATTTATGTCAATTTTATTAGGGAACTTGACATTTGGCGCTTTGGCCGTAATTAACCTAACCTTAGATTTCAGATTTCGTAGGTTTGATGATATTCACTGATAATCTAAATCTATAAATCTTATCATTGTACCTACATATTGGAGTCGAAAAAAATAAATACAACAGCAATTCTAATTGCTAATTTTAATATTTATTACATTAATTAAGTTTGTTTTGTTTTATAGTGGTTTTGAATTTTAATTATTTATTTACCTAACTTTTTAACCGACTTCAAAAAAGGAGGAGGTTATCAATTCGTAGCGATATTTTTTGTTTTTTATGTATGTTCAGCGATAATTCTTCAGCACGGTGTCCCATTTTAATAATTCTTTTTTTGTTAGAAAGGATGTACTTCAGGGGTGGTTCCATATAAATTTGGTCGAAATATAATAATTGGGTCTGTGAGAAAATCCTCAAACTCTTCATTTATGTTTAGCGATAATGCTTTACCACCTTGTCTGATTTATATGATTCTTTTTTTGTTAGTAAGGGGATACCTCAGGGGTGGTCCCATATAAATTTGGTTAAGATGTGGTGATGGCATCTGCACGTTTTTGAAGTCGGTTTTTTTAAATTTTTAATTTCCAATACTTGTCAACATTTTTAATTTTGAACATAAACTAAACTTATTTTGCAGTTTACACCAGGAAAATATGGAATCACAGGGGAGGTAATTATTTTTTATATTGTGACATTTTTAAGATAAGATAAGAATATTAAGATTATAATATAAATCTTGTGTTTATTTTACGGCAAGCATGTCAAACTGAAAAAGTAATTTGAGCTGAATAAATAAAATGTATGTTTATGTGGGCCGCAACCAGGCAAAAGCGCTGTAGGTAATGTGACCCAGTTATACATTTTTGAAGCCTCGCCCAATTTTAGTCAAAAATTCACCCAAAATGTATTTAAAATTATTTTATTCTAAAAACCTTAAAACATTTTTTAAAAAATATTAAAAAATCAGTATATTTTTAAAAACTGCTTATATCTAATATCCTATAAATAAAAGTAACTTTTCTATTTCTAAAGAAAACTATTTGCGGTAATCACCTTTAAAACTGATCCAAACCTTATTTCAAATTCAGTTTTAAGGCTACATATTTTTTCCGGATATTTTTCATACAATTAACCTGAAGTTGATTTATGCATGTTGCTTGATAGAAAATGCAATAATTTCTCATTTTTCAATTGCTTTACCCAAAGAACTGGCTTACATTCGAATGCTTTAATTTGATCACACATGTTCGTGATGATTTG